AAAACAATATATGAGCTTCCTAATGGCAGAGGCATTATGGGAAAAGTAGTATAAAAATAGACAAAACTAAATACAGATTAAATAAGGATAAAGCATAAGGATAAAACTAAAAGGCTATATAATGAAATAGAGAATAATAAAAGCAAAGGAAATACAGTATAAAAAAGCAATGTGAATGGAATAAAAAATAATAAAAGGCAAAGGAAATCCAGTATAAAAAGGCAAATGGTATTAAAAATAATAGTGCCATAAAAAGCAAAATAAAATAACATAACATATGAAAGACCAGTGGTAGTATATAATCCTCAAAATTACAGACTAAAACCAGAAGGTGAAATAAAAGACATATTGAAAAATTTACAAGAAATTAAAAAGGTCAAAATATGGGAGCCATAGTGTCTAATGTGAAAACCCAATTCATTTCCCTTCTGCCTAGTAATTTCGGAAGGTTACCCTCTCGCCATGGGGGAGAAACTTTTTCTATAGCACAAAATTGTAGGTGCTTAGCGTCTTTATTATGGATTAGGAAATGTTTGGACACCGAGTGGTTTAACCCCTTCAGGATGGAGTCAATAGTACACGTTCTGATCAAAACAAAATATAAACAAAAACTGAAATTTGTGCTATATGTCTGTTCAACCGTAATTCACATCTTTCATATTATATGCACCCACACTTATAATATATCATTTGTTCAGGGGAAACAGGGCTTTCATTTCATATCAAATATTTATATATGAAACATAATTTATGAATAAAATTTAACAAAACTGAGAAATTTTAATTTTTTAAAAACATTTGTAGTTCCGCCTCACATTTTAGCTGTAAATGTCATAATACGGTTATCTTTTACTGCAAAAAAAAGCACATATTTAGTTTCAGCAAAGTCTCACGAGTACAACAGTAGCCCCCTTTAACAGTTTTTACAGTGTTTTGGAAAGTTAAAGGGTCAAATAAAGCATATTCCATTTTTCAGTTTTTTCACATTGAATTTTGCCAGATTAGTAATGTTACCTTTGAGACCATGTGGTAGCCCAGGAATGAGATTTACCCCCATGATGGCATACCATTTGCAAACGTAGACTACCCAAGGTATTGCAAGTGGGGTATGTCCAGTCTTTTGTAGTAGCCACTTAGTCACAAACACTGGCCAAAGTTAGCGTTCATATTTGTTTTTGTGTGGAAAAGCAAAAAACAAATATTTGACCAGTGTTTGTAACTAAGTGGCTACTAAAAATGACTCGACATACTCCATTTGCAATACTTTGGGTTGTCTACTTTTGCAAATGGTTTGTCATCATGGGAATAATTCTTACCATACGGTCTCAAAAAGTAACATAACCAATCTGGCAAATTTCAATGTGAAAAAAATGAAATGCAAGCCTTGTATTTGACTCTCTAACTTTCCAAAACACCATAAAACCTGTACATGGGGGGGTACTGTTTTACTCAGGAAACTTCGCCTAATT